TGCACCGCCTCCTCCCGCAATGCACCGCCTCCTCCCGCAATGCACCGCCTCCTCCCGCAATGCACCGCCTCCTCCCGCAATGCACCGCCTCCTCCACAGCGCCCTGGGGGGCACAGTCAGGACTCACTCACCGGAGGACCCCAGCAGCACGGTGACCACGACCTTGCCGGCGGTGGTTATCATGTTGCCAATGAACTCCTTGAGTTTGGAGGCCACAGAGGCCACCCTGCGGAACATCTTCAGCTTGGCGCTTTCCTCCAGCTCGCCCTCCGCGCCGTCCCCTTCTGCGTCCGCGTCCATCAGGGCATCTTCTGAGTCCGCCTTTTCCCCAGCAGCCTAAAGAAATGACACAGAAGCTGTTGCAGGCCGGGCCAGATGCCGCGGGGCTCCTGCTGCAAGGGGCAGTGAGTGAGGTCATTTCCCAAGTCAGCAACACCGCGCGCGTCACCCGGTGGCCCAGGCATGGTGGTGACCCATGCCACTGTGGCCTTTCCTGAGGAGGTGAGCAGAAAGATCGCCAGCAGGACCCAGGGGCAGCTGAACAGCAATGACGCTCCATCAGGTCCCCGACAGGCTCTGCCAATGCTGCTCACTGGGTGTGCCCTMGGGGTGCTCCAGGGTTGAGCAGGCCACCTACCCTTCACCCCAGAGGTGGCCCCCCAGGGCTCAGGGCGTCCCTTAGCTTTCTGAAGTCCACGTCCCTTGACTATTTCGGGACTTCCGGGGCGTGGTCTCGGGCTACTTCGCTAAGTGCACGGTTGCCCCTGTCTTGAGACCAACTCCCGGATCTACCCTGGACAACTGAGCCCCTCAGGAAACACTCCCTCCAGAACACACAGGTGCTCTTTCCACTGGGGATGCAAACCCGGTTTGCTTGTCTTATTTTAAAAGATAAAATAGGAATTTTTTTTTCCTCATCCATACAAGACTCAGACACACAGCCATCACCCTGAGACCAGAGGACTCTGAGATCATGAGAYTGTTTGCATTTGTCTCTAGGTCGACAGACTTCACAGCTTTGGYTGGGCCAGGCGCTCTGAGCTAGTCAGCTCCAGGTCAGCCGTGAAAAGCAGAGCCTGGCCTTTGCAGTCCCAGGGTCATGGTCCTGTCTCCCGATGATGCTGGTGAGGGTGCCGCCTGTCTGCCTGAGCTCACTGGGGTCGGGGAGGTAGGATAGGACTGCTGCCAAGCTGAAGGAAGTTGAGGCCTCAAGGACACAGAGATGGAGGCCAGGGAAGAGAGCCAGCCCCTCTCTACACCCACACGTACACATGCACATACACACGCATGTGCATCCACCCACCCATAGCAGGGCTGTGTGGGCCCCTCGAGCCCCTGGGCATGGAGGACCCTGCTCTGCCATCACAGCGTGAGGCCAGTCCMGGGGCTGTGCAGCCACACCCTCAGCTGAGTGCAGATCGGACATGGGAAACAGTCATGTCTGTGCTGGACGCACGCAGACACTTCCCTGTYGTCATTCCCTAAACGACGAAGCACAACAGGTCTTTACATGGCATTTGACTTTTTGAGGCAAAAAGAATGTCTCATGCTTCCAACGTTTTTATCCACACAATGCCCGGTGTGTCCGAATCACTCTAGTAAAAGACTGTGTGGCCACGTAAATGATGAGCAATCTAAATATCTCCAGTAAGGAATCAAATAGGGAAGGACTGACGGAAAGGGTGGCTCCATTAGATCTGAGGTCAGGGAGACTCTCTTAGAGGAGGTGACATGTCATGAGGTCAAGTCCCAGGAAAGGGCACTCTGGGCAGAGGGAAGAGCTGGCCCRAGGCTCTGGGATGTGCTCAGAGGGAAGGGAGGTGTTCTGGCCATGGCCTCTTCTGCACCCTTAAAGGACTACCATCAGGTTTTCAGCCTTCCGGTTCTCAGAGGATGAACTTGTCGCCTACTTTACTGAGGGAAGATTACCAAACTGCCTCAAGCCCATCAAMAAGCTTTCCTGAGGCCTGTCTGCAAGCCATGCAGTCTGCCTTCCTCCTGTAGCAATGCAAGCTGCAAGTGCTCCAGCAAACTTGACTGGATTTCTCCTGCTCAGGACAGCAGGAAGAGGAATGGCTCAGCCACTYCTCCTGTGTCCCSCATCACAACACACTCCATTTCTCTYTGATGACCCCCATCAACAAACAAACATGTTTCACTATCTAATCTTAGAGGAGAACCAGCCTTTGCCTCCCAAAGGGAATCTCTCCAAAAAGTTTAAGCAGACCCTACTCCAGTTCCCCATGCAATTCTGATGTGCATGCACTTGAGCTGCTGGGGAATAAGCAGAGGGGAGACAGAGCTGGCAGCCCATGGCTGTGGTCAGGGGAGGAGGGAGGGGTGTGTCTGTGGCACAGGTGTTAGAGGTCCAGTCGGCAGGAGTAGCAGTGACTCTGCCATGGGGGTCAGAGAGGCGGGCGGGGGGACAAAGGTTGTTCCTATGCTTGTCTTTATTGGTGGCAGAGGATGGGGAAGCAGGCTGGAGGCTTGGAGGCAACACCCCGCRCTGGGAATTCCACCCCAGATCCCTCCAGGTGCTCTGATGGCAGAGTCCAGCAGGCAGCCAGAGCAGCAGCTGGCAGCATTTGGGGCAGCAGGAACTGCAGAGGCCTGTTTGGGACTCCCTGGAGGGTGAGTGGGTCTTATGTGGGGCTCTGATAGTACCTGAGGACAGAGATGGTCACCTCTCTGCTGCTGCCCGCCTGCAGCCCCTCCCTTGGCCTCAGCATCAAGGCAGGGACCCCTGGGGAACAGAACCCCATGGTTCTCCTTGCTTGCCCACACGCCGTGGCTGGCATCCTTGATTAGCTGCAGGCCCAGCCTCAGGCCCCTTCCTGTCGGCCTACTCCAGCTCCTGGAGGACAGGAAGACCAGGGTCCTCCTCCTTCACAGCCTTTGAGGCCACCTCAGGTCACTCTGGCACAGGCGGGCATCTGTGGCCTACCCTCCTTACTCTCAGTGAGTGGGCACGAAAACCATCCATCCAGGAAGGAGCTGGGCYCATGCCTTTACACTGCACTGAAGGAGGGGATAGCCGTGAGGCCTGCCTGGGACACAGAAATGCACCGGTGAYGATCGTGACAGATGACTTACTATTCAATTATGCAATGGCTGCGGATGTAGATTAAATCAAGCGGCAATGTGCTCCGGCAGCCTTTCCGAGCTTGTACAAACGGCTCCCCTGACCTCGCCAGGCAGGACGGCTGCTGGCTGTCATAAACACACTGCTGCACGTGAGGCCCTGCAGCAATTTACACCAGAACCCCTGGGGCCCTCGTCTGGAAATGCTTTCTGAGCCCGCTAAGCCGAGTGGGTAAGGGAGGTGGGGTGGGCTGCGAACCCACTGGCCCGGCCGGCAGGGCTGGCTCCTGAGAGGCAGGCTTGTCCCCTTGGTCATCTGCTACAGCCTAGGCAGGGCCAGCAGGGCAGGGCTCCCTCTAGATTGTTTACCAACAGGCAGAGTCCAGCTTGCACCTGGCCTGGGAGCTGAGAGAGCTGCAGTTGTAAACAGCCCCCCAGCCCCTGGTTCCKGGGTGTCTGGGCGAAGACAAAGTGAGCCCTCCAGGGCACAACAAGCCACAGGAAACGTCCATGTTAAAACCTAATTAGGTGATGTACATTCAAAGACGTTTTAGTATATTCAAAGATGTTTTAGTCCTTTACCTCCCTCTTTAAAAGATGCTGATTCCCACAGGAAATCCTGACACCTGCAAGGAGGGACCCAGGGAGCTGARGCCAAGTGAAGTGAACCAGGCCCAGGAAGACAGACCCGCTTCCACGCCCAGGGGGCCTGAACTTGCAAGAACAGGGCCAAGGCAGAGCTGGGCTGCGGGTGGGGGTGGGTGGCAAGGGGCCAGGGCCAGGTGCAGGGACTGCTCTGTTGACCTCCTGCAGGGTCTGCTGACCAGGTGAAGAGCAGGTGTACTCCCAGGTCGGTGAAAGGGATTTTAAATGCTCACAACACAGAGAAATAGCAGGCATTCGAGGAAATCAATGTGCTGAAGACCCTGAGTTGGTCATTCCACGTGTCTACAGGAACCCAAACAGCACAGTGCACCATGAATACGCAACTAGTGTCTGTCCATTAAAATACAGCAAAGAACTGAGGTGATTGTGAACGGTAGCAGCCTCAGAATCACCCATGCCCTGAATTCACCCTCAGAATTTCTGATTTAGTAAGTCCAAGGTTGAACCTGGCAGCCTGACCTCCTGGTGGTCCCCAGATGATCCTCAGGGTTTATTCCAACCCAGACTGAAGGTGTGGTCCCACAGGCAGCTTCTGTCTTCTCTGTGTGGAGCTGATTAGAAGCCCTGGGACTGGGCTGTGGTGGGTGGGCAGCCTCCTGGGGTGAGAGGTGTCTAGTCCTTGTCTTGGTGCACAGAACATGGTACCCCACAGAGCTGTAGCCACCACACGTGGAGCCCCTACACGTGGTAGGCACTGGTGCTGGGGTGTGGCTTTAGCACTGGGTCCCACTGGGGTGGCGCAATGCCAAGGTATTCTGCTGGAGTCACATCTCTGCAGACCCCTTCTTTGGAAAAGATATTGAGGACATTTCTCTTTGGAAACTTGTTGGGGTCCAGTCAAGCTCAGACCCCAGACCAGAGCTTTTGGGCAATGGAATCTTGTTCCTATTATTTTTGGTGAGAAATCAGTTTTTAAAACACTTCCACAGGAATTTATTGAAGTCACACCCAGGAGTCTAAAGTCAGAGGCAAAGGGAGTGTGTTTCTGCAGTGTCACTAGTTTTTCATGCAATGTGCCTTGTGACATGTTGACAACTGACCCTACAGAGAGCCTGAGGCAGGGAGCAAACATGCTGTAAGGGACAAACTTTGTTTCCAGCATCCCCTAGAGGTGAGAAGGCAAAGGAGGAAGTGGACTGGTGTGGGCTATCGCGAATGTCACCAAGCCTAATGTGAGGGCTTATTCCCTGCTAGACTGGCTTCAGGAAGATTGGTCTCCAAAATCACGATAGCAATTTAAAGTGCTCCCAGGGAGCGTGTGGATGTGTGGGTTCCCACCGCCTGGAGGGCAATGGGCTTAACAACAGGCTGGGGGCCAGGAACCAGGCAGGACAGCACAGGGGACCTGGCAGTGCCAGCACAAGTGGCTTCTCCCTGGGCTTGTTCTGGCCCTGTGCAGGAACGTCTAAAAACTCCCCAGTTAGGTGGCCAAGTAAGAAGGCACCTGTCCTTAGGAGTCATCTGAACATCATGTGAGAAGCAAATGAACAGCAAAGGAGACCAGCCAAGTGACAGTGACCATTCACGTTAAAGGAGTTTTGCTTTGAGATTTAAAAAGAAAATCACCTAATAGAGAAGCATAAAACCAAAGCAGCATTCACACATGCACACTCATGCACACACAATGCACACATGCACACACGCACATGCACACAAACATGCACATACATACACACACATTCGCCCATAATGTGCAGACACACAAAAATGCACACAGACATACACATGCACACACGCACCCACATGAACACACAATGCACACACATGCACACATGCACATGAGCACACACTACACACAACGCACACACATGCACACACACATACACACAGTGCACACACATGCACACACACATACACACTGTACACACAATGCACACGCATGCACACATAATACATACACATGCACACATGAATATGAGCACACACATGCACACTCATGGTGTGCTAGCCCTGTGCTACCATTTCTTTCCTAGGAAACAGCTAAATTTGACTCTTCTAGAYGGCATGCCTGGTACTTGCTCTAGGAGTGGGGGGCACAAGCCTGGCTGGTGCTCCAAAGCTTCCTGAAAGACACAGGACCCATGGGATTACTTGTGATGGATCAAGATGCAAAGAAAACCAACCTCTCTAAGTCTCTGTTATGAAGGTGTCAAAGGGGGCTGGGGATGTGGCTCCGTGGTGGAGTCTTTGCGTGGACCCTCAAGCCCCAGCAATGCAATACAAACAAACAAAAAGTCCCAAGACAACAATGACAAACTGAGGTGAAAAGGTTGAGCAGAGCAGGGATCAGCAGCAGCCTGACTGCCTTCCCCATCCATCCCGCCATTCAGCACCTGCTCCCGAGCCCGGCTTTGCTCCAGGCCCTGTGCTGGGTCCAAGGGAAAGACAAAGAATTCTTCATGGCACATCCATTGCTCGGGGATGCCAGTGTATTAGCTTTATAAAATGCAAATGTCAGGTCCTAAGCCCACCTGACTGCAGGAATTTTGGATGCCCTGTTCCAATTATTCCTAAGAGGGACGGGATTATTAAATGATAAGGAAGAAAAATATTATTGGTAAGCAAAGCAAAGCAAAAAGGAAAAAAGAAAAAAAACAAACAAACACCACATGATCCCCCCCAAAACAACAACCAAACACCAAAACCAAAAACTAACTGCTGTTAGATATTTAGACCATCTGGTGCACAGTAGGACCCAGAAATGAGTAACAGAGCAACACAGGCGAGCACTACAGGCTGTGATCATAAACACGCAGGCCCTGCCCAGGAAGCCCACTTTGGAAGGTGGCTGGGGCTGGCCTCATGGGGGATGGAAGAGGGGGAGGAAGGGTCCTGTCTGCATGGTYGGGGAGGGAGAGGGCAGGACATGGCCAGGCCCTGCAAAGCCATGTTGGGATCAGGAGCCTGTGTTTTATTCTGGTTTAGTGGAAATCCAAAGAAATATCTTCTCCATGATTTCATCCTCAGCTTTATAGGAACAGCTGCTGTGTGTCGTCTCCACGGATGRGGTGGGAACAGAAGCTGCGGCGGGACCCCCATCTGGAGGTTCTTCTGGGTCTAGTTGAGAGCTGGTGGCTGCTGGCAGCAACTATGGCAGTGGGGGCCCTGAGTGCAGACAGCACTTGGAGGTGGAGACAAAGGATTTGCTGATGTGATGGACAAGGGGCCCAGGGAAGCCAGGGTTATATCAGGTGTCTGGCTCTGGTGACTGGGTAGACAGGGCTCATGTTAACCTTGATGGGGTCATTGGTGGGCAGAATGTTAACACCTTAAGAGAGCAAATCCACAGAGACCCATGAGTCTTCCTCAGGGATTAGTTGCTACTTTAATGGATGCTGCACTTGAGAAGAATTCTCCCTGGCACCAGGAGATGGACTTCGACATTTCTCCATCGAGATAAATGAAAGAAGCAGCAATGCCAGCAAACACTAGTCTTTTGGTATCCTCGAAACCCAAACATTCTGGAGAGCAAAAGCCAAGATTTATAAGCAGCAGGAAGTACGTTGGGCCCTTCAAAAATAAAATAAATTCAGCTGCGGATTTTGGCTTGTGACCCTGTTCCTTTCAGACTGAAGCCCATATTGCCAAAGTAAGAAATCTTTCCTTGTAGACTGAACTTGGAGGCTTCACCCACCACCCTCTTCCTCCTGGGATCCCTGCGGATGGAAGATGCTAAGAGAATGGACCTTAATATGTAAATCAACCTGACAATCACGTTTAGCATTTTCAAAGCCTGGAATGAGATACTTAGAGAATTTATATCATTATCTTTAAATTACAGGGTTCATGATGTGTAAGGCTTAGAAACTTATACAAATTTCGGATGGCACAGAGCTCCCACTAGTCTAAACACGAAAAGGAAGTATCCTGGAGAAAGAAGCATGATTTTAGAACTGGTGCCCGTGATCACACTTCCCCATCTGTCAGACCCTGACCATCAGACACAAGCTCTTTTCATGAGAACCTCCGCCGTCTGTTCACTTTTATCTGTCACGAGTGGTGAGAAGGGGTTCTCTGGGAGAGAAACACAAACACACTGTCCAACATAAGTGTCTAGAATTCTAAGAGGACCCTGGCTTTGAAATTGTTCCCCCTCAAGCTGGAGAAGGGTGAGGAAGGGAGGAAGAAGCAACTTATGAGCAGGCACCCAGGCATCGTGTGGATTTTATGTTTACTTTGTACTCACGACTGCTCTGTGATGCATCACTACTAATTCCTTGGGGTTTTTGTTTTGTTTTGTTTTTTGGTGCAGGGGATTTATCCCTAGGCCTCATGCATGCTAAGCGCATGCTCACCCCTGAGCTGCGCCTCTGACCTATTAACTCAGTCTAGTGGAGTGTGGACAGTCTTCCCAACCACACAGCGTTCACTTCCATCTCAGACTTCAAAGTCCACCCAGTTGTCAGTAGTTATCCTCTACCTCCGTCCACAATAAGAGGATAATCGAAAAACAATCTCACCTTATAAATAATAATGATGTAAATGTCATGAGCTTACAAAACTTGAGCTAGTTAATGGGTTTCCATCCACAACACATGGGACAAATTTTGGTAATGATTATTTAAGCAGTATCTTTTCAAAACTCTAAATATCATAATATAAAATTAGGATATGAATGAGAATATGAAAATTTAARTTCCCTGTCTTAAAACTGTGAGGTGAACAAGAAGAAAAATAATGTCCACAGTTTTATCTGTTTTCAGGGCTGCTAGCAGCAGCTCGGCTGACACTGTTTCCTGCACCCTGTGCCCTTCTTGCCTATGAAGGGGGAACGGGACACGCGCTGTGAAGGCACATCTCCAACCGCAGGGCGCTGGGGCGACAGCTGCATTCTGGTCGGCCTCCTTTGAGGCACAGAGGTGACCATTCTCCACATTAGTAAGTTCAGCTTTACAAGTTCAACTTAAAACATTTGGTAGTTGTATCTTGTGTCAAATGTCCAAATCAAATATATTTGAGTGACTTTTAAATTCGTAAATCTCATCTTTCCGTTACTAAATGAATGACTTTTGACATTGATGCCACCTGAACCTGCAGAGCAGAGGCAGTCATCAGGAGCGCCTGCTGGAGCAGGTCAGGGGACAGCACGAGAGGCGGCTGACAGACTCCTGCACACCTCCTGGTCCGGGAGCAACCCCCGAGCCCTGGGCACTAGCTGAGCACTTACAGTTCATTCTTTATCTCTACCTTATCTTTTTTTCAATTCTCATGCTGCTCTAAACTTATCCTTTTTCCCCTCCAGAATGTTTTAAAATAATTTAACCAACATGCTGCGTCAACATAACTGTCTTGGAGGGTAAGGTGCGAAGTTTCCCCTCAAGGAGGAGTGAATCTTTTCCTCCCGAAACTACCCGTGTTACTGCTTCTCCAGATACCAAGACCTCCAGACCCAGCAGCTCATAACATGTGGACCCAATGCAGCCTCATGAGGTTACCATCTGCCTTAGCGTCAGATGACAGCTGGGGGTCTCGAGCTGGCCTTACYCATTGAGCTCCTCAGGAAGGGTGAGCACTCACGTCCCCACCTGTCTCCATGTGGCTCAGCTATGGAAGAGAGGTGTGCCCAGCGGGCCACCCAGGTGGCTTTGTGAGGGACTGTAAGGGCTTTGCCACGTGCTCTGTCAGCACTGGGCTCTGCACAGGGAGCTATCACAGTGCCACGACTACCAAGGGGCAAGGCCCTGGGGCCCAGGAGGGAAGACACCCATAGTCAGATTTACCAGTTCTTCATTTTCAAACTCCAGGTTATATTGTGCTGCTTCTTCTGTCACTGGTTTCTGAACRATGTTTCTGCAGACGAGCCAGATAGTCAGGCTGGCGATGAACATCCCGATGTCAGGCACAAACACGCGGATCCCGTTGCCAGCGTCGGCTCCCTTCAAGCTAGGGAGGGAAGAAAGGGAGGAAGTTTAGTCGTTTCTTTATTTGTATTGTTGACCATCTCACAATACATCCCAGTACTCTCAATGATTTAAGATAAAATATGCTGTTTCTGCCTAGGAGGTATCAGAAGGCTTTTCATTGATCTCAAGGTCTTATACAAATCTAAGGTTCAGGGGTAGTCCAGCATTTTACAGGAGTTTCAGAAATACTTTGGAGAACTCTAAGCAACGATCACTTCTAAAACATGCTAATGAATATATTTTAGTAAATAAACCACATATCCGGTCCAAATGCAGCTGTCTGCAATTTGGCTAAAGCAGTTAAAARCTGAAGATATATTGGCAGCTAGAAGGTATTTTATTATAAATGTAGGTGAAAACTAGACAAGAAAGCAGAGGAAATGTCAAAACTCTTTTCAGGTCTGGGACCTCTTCATTATTTTGCATATTGGGTTGATCTGTCTCCCATTCAGTTCCACAGAAATTGATCCACCAAGTTTCTTCTCTGATGTTAGGAGGAGAAATGCTGAACCGAGAATCGGAAGACTGGGGTTGTGGCCAGTGGACACTGAGTGTCTGTCTGCCTTCCTTGTGCCGTCCAGTGAAATGAGTCACCAGCTCATGCCTTTAAGAGAGGTGAATGCTTATGTATGCAAAGCGAATATGGAAAGTCACAGCAAAATATGACWCGCATTTCCACCAACACCAAGGCGTTGAGAAGAGCAGTATCACTGACCTTCAGATCACCTTCAGACTTGGTATCTGCTGTTATGAGACCTGGAAACAAATGTGGAGCAGTGGGCTGCACCAGGCAGAGGGCAAGGAGGGGCCTCCTCTGGACAGGGAGGAGGGCTCCAAGGGAACGAAATCCAGACACTGCCTGTGACCCGAGGCTGCTGTGACTCGAGGCTGCTGTGACCCTAGGCATGTTCCGGGGGGTGGGGTGGGGGGCGGTGTGAACACAGAGGAGGAGGCAGGGCACAAGCACTGGCACGGAGGCCCAACAGGCACCACCTCCACCCAACTGTGCTGGCGAGCGTGGTTCCCCAGAACTCACAGCCACGGCGCACGACAGGCCAGCCAGCTCCCTGCAGCTGTGCTCCTCCATCACCCACAGGGCTGCCACTGTCCCGAGCGACTGGGCACCCAGCACTGACAGGCCTGCAGGGCTAGCAGCACAGTGCTCACTGCTAAACGTGGAGAGTGGTTGCTGACATTTCCTCTGTTCACCCATGAAATAGGAAATAAACCCTGGCAAGGAAAAGCCAGTGAAGTAGCTGGTGATATGAGGGGAAGTCCCGCAGCCCTGGTCTGCAGAGTGAGCTCACAGCAGGGGAGACACAGGCCGAGCTGAGGTCTGTGCCAGTGACGGAGCTTCTGGGGGTGAGAGGAGCACAACCTCCCAGGGGCTCAAGTCTCTGGAGAAGTGTTTACCAGAGGTAAGACTTGTCCAGGGACAGGAAGGAAGAGCCAGGGACAGTCATCAGGTTGGGTGTATACATACGCAGTGGGCGGGGCTTGGTCCCAGGACCCATCCTCTGACACCTGGGTCCCTCTCACAATGGCACAGGTTCCGTGTGACCTGTGTGCATCCTCCTGTGTGCCGTATGTTATCTCCAGACTGCTTATGTCACCTGATCCAGTGTCAACGTCACACTCACCCCTGCCATCCTGTGTCGTCAGGGCATGACACCACGACAACAAGACTTGCACATGCTCAGTACATTCGCAGCTGTTTCCCAGGAGTTTACCGTCTGTGAGTGGTGGATCTGCAGGTGCAGAACCTAGATAGCAGCTGACTGTGCATATTTCTATTCACCCTGTGACTGTGCACAGCATCCTTTTATGTTGTGTGTGTTGTACACTGTGATGACCCTCATCGAGAATACCATTATCATCGTTCACATCTTGGTAAAGAATGTTGATACTTTTTGGAACATGAGCCCTTCCTGTGTACCCAGAGCTTTGCACACACTGTTGGATCAGCCACCGCCACACTCAGCTGGGTGGAGTTGTCCCCCCTCGGCACCTGAAGCAGCCCAAGCTCTAAGAGTCCCACAGACGGAGGACACAACTGCCCTGCCTGCAGGCTAGTGAGGCCTTCGCCTCTAGGCCCGCTGCTCCCCACCTCCAGGCTGCCACRTGCCTTGCTCAGAGGGAACAAAACCAAGTGCATCCTTGTTGTTTTGGAAGGGGTTTCMCTGGTGTTTCCCCAGCATTTTTGCATCCGGGGGGTCGTCACCACCAGTGTGCTCAGGGTCAGAGTCCTCACCCCACAGACTGCAGGACACAACAGTCCAGATCTAACTCAACGAAGGGCTTTCTGGTCTAGCGTCTCCTAGGAATCCATCTTCAGGACAGTCCAGCTGGCTGCTTGAATAAAAGAGGGACTGCACAGTCTCGCAAAGCTCCATTTCTACAGATGGCTCCAAGCAGCGCTTCATAAATAAACACCATGTATCAGTTGTTTTTTTTTTAATAGCAAATTCCTTTCATTTGAGACAAGAGTTAAGAGGATCCAATTCAGAAAACTTCATCCAAACTGAATTCATAATAATGAAATCTGATGATGGATTATGTCACAGGAAGAACGCAGACGTTCATTATGCACCTTTGAAGTCGGCCTAAGGTGATCTCGCAGAGCAAATGAATTGCAGTCATTAGAATGAGATGGAAGGTGGGGTGTCAAGGAAAGAGACTAGAGAACACAGGCCAGGCTCTGGCTGACCCTGTGGGGCTGAAGTGAGAGGCCCCTGGTGCTGCTCCCCTGGGTTTTTGGCATAGACTTTCATACCTTTCATGGAAAACAAGTTGACCAGACTTGGCAAAAGGCACCTGCCAAGCCAAGGTTGGTAGGAGGTTCTGAGAGAAAGGTCCCAGGGCTCCAGCTGTGGCCTCGGCAGCTTCCTGCACCACAGCTCAGCTGCAGACGCCTAGCCTGGCCTTCCCCTCCCAGCCTGCCGACTGCATTGAGCTCCCGATTTATAGGCAATGGCTTTGAATAACTGTCTCTGCTTTGTGCTTCTTGATCCCCAAAGAGACATTTCACAGCACACGAATGTTAAGGAGTAAATGAAGTTAGTTGCAAAAGCAACCATTCCACCCGCTGTGCCAGAGTTCAGCCCCCGGGTCCAGGGCTGGCTTGGATTCCCATTTGGAATGGAGTCTGTCAGCTGCGGAGGTGCGAAACTATGAACTGGGCTTGCTGAGTTCACCAAGCAGGGCGTAACACTGCCTCGCAGAAGACTGTAACGAAAGTGATGCAGACTACACAGGTCATAGTCTAAGTGATGTGTCATCCAGAGGCCATCAACAAAGTTTCCTTCTCTTTTGTTTAGACCATGATTTAATAAAGCACCTTCTTCAGAATGTTAGTCCTCAGAAGTGCTGAGCATTAAAACAAAACCAAAAAAATCTTTGGTCAAATAGGTGTTAGAAACTCACAGTGCATGCGATCATACTAAAAGGCTTGAGCATCCCTGGGTCTAGCAATTCAGTTGGATTTATTTACACTTCTGTTTCCCAAACTTATTTGGCCAAGATGTTCGTGTAAAGGACAGGTCATCTGCTGAATCCACTGGCCTCTCCTTTCTACACCTTCTCCATGCCCTGGTACTGATTTTGTGACCATGACAAAATTCACCAAGGGACAGCCATGATGGCCCTCTTTGCTCTGAACTCCTCTCAGAAATATTCTCTTCTTGCTTCTCAAAAACAACGAGACAAAGGCAGCGGCCCAACACTTCTCTGCCTTGATGAGTTCAACTGTTTGAGGTTCTGCCGGTGAGAACGTGCAGCACGTGCCTTCCCGAGCCCAGCTTGTCTCATTCAGAGTAGTGTTCTCCAATTCCATCCAGGGGGTCACACAGGTTAGGATTTCCATCTTTTCCAAGACTGAATAGTATTCCCTTGTGCCTGGACACACCGTCACCTCCTCTTCCCTCCACGGAGGGACTGGGTTGACTCCCTGTCCTGCTGGGCTGAACAGAGCCACAGGGCGTGGCCTTTTCCTTGCTTACTTTATCCGAGTCTACAGAGGATATCTCACTCATTTCTCCCTCAACTAGCACAATTCCTGTAGATCTTTGTTCGAAATCCCCAAATATTTTATGCATAGCCAAGGAGCCAACTCCATTATAACCTTCAGGAAAGCAGAGCACATTCTGGAGCGGCTTCCTCCTAAAGGAAAGACGGCATGGGCCACTCTGCTGCACTGTGAGAGCAGGCTCAGGGGAGGTGGGGTCACTAGGACAACACTACCAACAGCCAGACATCTCCCCCTTCCTCCACCCTGGCCATCCACACCTGCCGGATGGTGCCTCTGGCTTGCATTGAAAAGCTTGAGAAAAATGAACTTCAATTAATTTTGCTGAAAAGAAAATAAGCTCCCCAGTGAGTAGCTGCAGGAGAGGGCTGCAAGTACGCTTTTCATAAACGCTGAGTCTGCAGACAGCAGGGAGTTTTCTGGATCACTACTAGAAGGTAACAAAGAAATCAGCATGGACTTTGGACTAGAAGTCCCCCCCCCCACTGACGGAGCCCCATGGTTCAGTCTTTGCTTCTGGCCTTGACCTCTGAGGAAGCAGTTTTTCCTTGYGCAGGCTCTCAGCCTGGCCCCTGCACTCTTGCACAAGGCTCACAGGCAGCGCTGTGTCCCCTCCAGTGCCACATGCCACACTCATGATTCAGACCTTCCTAGCTACTTGGTGAGCTGGTGTTGCYGGCCTTCTCTGCTGGAGGCAACGTTTCCTGGTTGTATTTGCATCTTGTAGAGACTTGTAGAACGTGTCCTATTCCCTGTCAAACCAAGCTTCCTACCACCCTTCAGGGACAACTGCTGACTAATTACCATGAGATAGCCGCCCAGTGGTGATCAGGTGAGGCCACCATTATTGACTGTGTTGGGCTGCAAGGGGACACTTCCCCTTGCCTCCAGTTAATCAATTACTTATCTAATCACAATCAATGTGGATCCCTGAATCCCTGTTTTGTGGGGTTGTG